GTGTGGAGGAGCGGGGAAGCGAAACCCGGTTCACCAGATTACAAGTCCACCACTCTTAACCACTGCACCTCGCTGGCTCCCTATGTGTGCTCATGCAAGGTTCCAGCTCATGAATGGAAGCATGAATTAATTAATCAAGGTTCCCATTATGATGGGAATATGTCATGGCATAGAGCCCTTTCAGAGCTTGGCCCTCAGGGCTCAGCTAGCAGGCATGTTGTGCATTCATTGAGGAGATGCAAACTAGTACAAGACTTCCACTACTTATCATATCCCTATCCTTCCTTCACAAACATTATCAAGACCTCCTTCTTTCTAAAAGCCTTTCTGAATCAGTATTCATACCCTCATATCTTCTCCATCCCATCCTCGACATTCATTGTAAGTTTTTGATGCCGCTCCCTATTTTTATTCATTGCAAGCCTTCTCAGCAGGGTTTCTCTATCCCTTATTACACCCAACACACTGTTGACATTATAAACATATGTACCAATGCTTGTGTTGATTAGGTCCTGCTGAAGTTCATGCTGTTTCAGTATTAACATTCTTATTTGTCAGAAATAGAAGCATGTCAGAAATAGAGAGTAATTTCAGCAAAACGAGGCCAAAAGGAAAGCACATTTTTGGGGGGAAACTCCATTTGTATGCAGAGAAAGCACAGGAGAATATTAAGGAACCTCAGACAACATCTCAATAGGTGATAATTGTACAAACTGTAGACTGTGAAAAGCTGATTGGAGGAAGAAGCAAATAACATAAAATATTCCAATGTATTAGCAAAAGATGAGTATTATCTTTTAAATAAATTTAAGTCAGCGAGGCCAAATAAAGTCGACTACAATAATAATGATAAAAAGCAGCAAAAGGAGGCATAGCCATTGTGCAGCTTCAAAGGAAAGTCTCACACAGATAACGTTTCAATAGGAACACTTTCAGTATTTTCTGAACGGGTTTCCAAATGGGCTATGTGGATTATGCCTAAATGCTTGTGCACTCTGCTCTTTCAATGAACTGTAGCGGGCAGCGGGACAAAATCCAAAGCAGAATGAAGAACAAAACAGGGGGGGGGGTGAAGTACTGTGAATTTGGTAAAAGAAAAATGTGTGGGTAAGCCATGTGGTAACCCAGCAACCCTGCTTAAAAATATATCCAAGTTTGTCTATTGCTTCGGTAAAGGTGACATATGAGATGCAGTTCTCCATTTTAACTTGGCAGTGGGATTTTCCATCAGTTTTAATATCTGATGCACTGTCTTGGCTGTGTTATAAGTGAAGGGAATTGCAGTGGGTCACACAAAGAGGTACAGACTTGTTTGTCTTCCATAAGTTTGGAATGATGTGACTGTCTGTGCCTTTTCCCATAGTGCATATGAAGAGAGGGAATGGCTTTCAAAAATTGTGTCAAAAAACACCAGACTGTCTCTGTGCATTTAGCTTCATTGTAATTGCCAGAAGCCTATGAAATGGCTTATAAGAAAGAAGCTGCTATTGTAGCACCATACAAATGTAGAGGCAGAGAGTGAGGGTAGCAAATGGCCTTCAAATGTTTTTGAAGAGCCATGCTATCTTTGAAATTGGTATAATAAGAAAGCAATGGAACGGGCTGTGTATATGTGTAGAAAGGTGAGTACTGCAAGAACACTTGCTCTTAAAATAAATTCTATTTAGGGCTAAATATATACCCATATGAAGGCAATGTAAAAGAATGGGGCCAATTTGAACTGGATGCAAAAAAAATTATTTTACAATCCTTTTACAAAATTCAGGCTAGAGAATGAGCCCTGCATTCCCATATTACCTTTGAAAGCCCTCTGACTGTAGGGACCAAAGGGATTTTTGTTGTTGTTGTTGTTGTTCTCTGACATATACATATATGTTATCAGAGCCATCCCACCAAGTTTCTGTAATGTCTATTATATCATATTTGCATCCTGTATTAAGAGCTCAAGTTCATCTCATTCATTTCTCATGCTCTATGCATTAGTATAGAGACAACTGAAAGTCATGCCTCCCCCCCCCATTGCTTTCTTCTTTTCTGCTCATTAACAAGTTCCTGTGCACTATCCAAGATTGGTTACAGAGTGTTTCATTAAATTTGTCTAAAATGAGATGGTAGTAGCAATAATAGAGTGCAGAGGCAAGCAGGTAGCACATGGGAGAAAGACAGAGAGATTGGTGTGTGGCCTTATAGGTCAGTTGTAGAGCATCTAATCTGAATGCGGAATATCCCAGGTTATGATCTTGGCACCTCCCAGTAGAGTTGAAAATGTATCCTGCTTGAAACCCTGGAGAACTGCTACCAGTCAGTGTGCACAGTAGAGTTAGATGGGCCAATGGTCTGATTCAGTATAAGGCACCTTTCTATGACTAACTTAGTAACATTCTATTTATATAAAATGATTATATATTTATTTATACCTTGCCTTTTTCTGTGACAGGGACTCAATGCAGCTAACAGATAAAATAAGAACAGCTAAAAACATTGGGGGAAATAATTTAAAACCAATTAAACACACCCACACCCACACACCTGATATACACAAATGTGAACCTGAATTTTATGTTTTGTGAGTCATCCTTGTATAGGACATCTGTCTCCACCAAAGATGGAGGTGAGATTATTTCCTGGTGAGATTATTTCCTGCCTAGAAAATATTTCACAGAACCTAGAAGAAACAAACATTGAACTCCATATAATTCATAACCTATTTGTAATAGTTAACCCAGCAGCTTACTTTGGATGTTCTATCTCCCTCTTTGCCAGGATTTCTAAAGTTGCTAATACGAAATTACACGTTTGTAGACATTATCTGTTTGTTTTTCTTCATGAAAGCAGAAGCTCTTCAATGTTGCTTTACCATTTTGACTTACAACCCAAGTCTTCTTGGAAGAATATTTAATAAGCAAATTGTAATCTGCATTCCTGCCCTAATTAGCTGTACGTACAGGCACCCCTCCACTTACACACGTTCCATTTATCTAATCACCCATCAAAGCAGCAAGCAAAAGGCATTATGAAAGATCAAGGGCACATTCCAACATGGCAAAAGATGAAAAAAATAAACCAAGAAGGATGCGGACTGAAATCAATGAAGTGTAGGGCCTTTGGAGAGTCCTGAGAGCCAGATTCAGAGGCCTGGAGGGCGACATTTAGCCCCCAGGCCTGCAGTTCCCCACTATAAGAAGAGCCTGGATCAAAACAATGGCTAGTCCAGCATCCTGTTCTTACAGTAGCCAATCAGATGCCCCTGGTCTACACTGACTGGCAGCAATGCTCTGAGATTTCTCTGTTTCCCAGCACTATATGAACATGTCACTGACTGAACATGAGACTTTCTGCATGCAAATTGTGTGTTCTATCACTGAACTATGGGTTCCCGTCAAAGCTAATTGGAGGACTGGGATATGGAAGCCCAGGAGTGCATTTTTAACTTTGAGGTGAGTGGAAGGAGTCAGTTCAGAATATTTATGATGCATTTGAGCCAAATTAACTTTCCATTCAGATTAAAATGAAAATAGCCTTGGTTTCCTTAAGAACAAAACTTTGCTTCCTGAAAAATAGTTTTCCACAGACCCAGGACATCTTACGAGAATTCTTTCATCTTCTGCACTCAATCAGCTCCTCATAAATGTGTGGAACTGAACAGATGGGTCTGTAATTTTTCAGGAAAAAAATAGAAAAGAAATGCAAGTCAGAAATTACCAAGGGGCTGTATAGTTAGAGGACAAACTGAGAAAATGAAGTGGTGAGACACTGGAAGTTCATGTGGAAGAGGCTGAAAGTTATGTTTTTATATCTTCTTCTTTGGGAACTGAGAAAAGGGTTTTATTTCTATAAGAATGTAACAGATTTTTATACAGAATCTAAGATTTTCCAAGCTACTTTGTCTGACCTGAAATGTTGGTCCCGTGAAAATGCTGGAAAGAACCCTGTTAGCTATAGAAGAACATTTCAATAGTTCTACAATGGATGGGTTCATATTACTAAGTAATCCCATGTGTAGAGTCAGAAAGATTCAGGACCATCAGATAAAAAGCATTTTTGTAGTTCATTGCAAGGGCTTTTGCTTTAACCATTCTCTGTTATACAAGTGTGTTAGGCTGTGAACTGAGCAATAAAGGAGGCATGGGGAACCTGCAGCCCTCCAGATGTTTTCCAGCTACAATACCCATCAGCCCCAGAAAACGCCGGCCAGGGATAGGGAAAGACAGGTCTGCATTTGAATGGGAATGGTCTCCCAATGTTCACATTTCTTTTAACTTTTCTTTAACGTGCACATTTTCACAAAGAATTATTCCGCAAAGAATTATTCCACAATGTATTTTTGTACGGATACACACACACACAAAAAAAAAAATACATGAATTGAGCTTTATTATGGTCACAGACCAGGATTAAAAAAACAATTAGTTAAAATAGCAGTTAGGATTTTTTGACCGATAATTGTTAGGGCAAATGAGGACAAGGAAACAGGCATAAAACATCTGAATAAAATACAAGATTAAACACAGATAATGGATGGATAAAAAACTAATAATTAAAACAGATAAGAGCTAAAAACCAAGGACACACAGTTAAAACAACTGTAAGAGCATAAGAACTAAAAGACTCACAGATAAAACAACTATAAGAGGCTGCAGAGTAGAAGCCTCTTAAATAGAGGACACTCACAACATTAAAAACTGCTGTGCAAATATGGTTAAAATGGACAATTAAAACAATGTACAACACTAAATTTAGAAACAATGTACAACAATAAACTGTCCCAGGGAGTTGACTCAGAATCACCCATGGAACCGTGTTTGGGGCTTTTCATGCCGGACTATTTTGAGTTGGGCGATGGTCTGTGCCTACAGATCTGTACACAGAATCTGGCGACCATCCAGGTCATCTTCTGATCTTTGCCCAACAGCAAAAGGTCAAATTTTTGCTTTTGTGGGAGGTCGGCGAGCCTCACCAGTAGGGGATCAATGAACTTACTGCGTGCCTCTTTATAAAAGGGACATGTAAAGAACAAGTGTTCTGAGCTTCCTATCTCTCCCAATGGAGAGGTGCAAAGTCTCTGAGCATACGGGACCCTTCTAAAGGCTCCATCCAGGACCGGCGAGGGAAGAGCCAAGCTTCTGGTGAGTTTAAAGGCCCTTCTTGCATCCCTAGATATGAGAAAGAAGAGATATGCTGGCGGTGCGGCTATATCTCTCTCGTTTTCTCCAATTCTATAGTTGGGGCACCTTGCACAGTCCTGCTGTCTCTCGGTGTCTAATTACTAATACATGAATTTTGACTTTACCCCAATACATGCATTTGTGTAAACATTACTTGGCTGGAGAACGGCACTGCAAAATTCAGGAAAGTGTGAATTTTAAAGATTGGCTGTGTTTTGGTTCCCATATTGTTTCAGAACATTTGGATTAGTTTAGTTTGCCTTTGAATGCAATCTGAATCAAATTTCTCCCCCAGCCCTAGTCCTGGATGATGGTAGTAGCAGTGCAAAAAACATCTGGAGGGTCATAAATTCCTCTCTCAAACTATGAGCTAAAATCCCAGTATATAGTGGGCAAGTACAACAATTTGTGAAATGGAGGGGAGACATGCCCCCTTCCATTCTCTATATGTGTAACATGGCAGTTGTGCATGATGAGATGATTTATGAAATATTTCAGGGGAGTTGGAGAACTGCGTTGTCATATTCGGGGGTGTGAACATTGCAAAAGAAAGCTGCATTTCAGTTCATCCATTGTTTCCAGCAGTGTGAATGGGGAGTTTTCCATTACATGAGAATTGAACAGTTCTGCCCATCCCTAGATACACTGAGGTACAGTACAAATAAATCTTTTTTTGTGGGGGGTGGGGGGGAATGGAGAACATTTCGATTCAATGAGGGTTCAATGAGAATTTAATGAGGACTGAATACAGCCACTGGCTATGGAATGCTGATTTCCAGGGAGACATGGAATAGACTGGAGTATCCTGGTGTAGGGGATGATTTATTGATTGGAACCCAGACCAGGAGCACTCCACACTGTGCCATTTTGTCCCAAGTCCCCCTTGTAGAGAGGATATATAGTAACAATTTTCCTTAGAGCAACAACAAAAAAACTGCTCTTTAGCAAAGTGCCTGTCCAACTAAAGCAGACATTCATGCTTGCTTCCACTATCCTTTCTTAAAATATCTGGCTTTTTAGATCATACCAGGTCAAGCAACCAAAGCTTTTAACATAATAGGTAACATGAATATATAGCAGAAGTGTATAAACCTAGATCTATACATCCTAGCTGAGCAAATGGGTTGTTGTTTCTACATGAAATGATTCAAGCAGCACAATCTCTGTACATTTATGGCAGACATAGACACGGATATGAAGTTTGACACCACCAGATGTGTGTTATAACATGGCCACTAGGCCATAATCACTTTCCAAGCTCTGTGCTCTGCCATAGCGTCATGAGCAAATCTAGTTAGCAGTTTTCATCCTGGATATTCCCTGTTCTGTTCACAGGCTTGCATGCCAGATAGCCTAAAGGCAGCAGGAAATGGACAAACTGCTGATGATATTTGTCATAATGTGCCAGCTCTTTGAGTGTGATCACATCCCATTGTCCCCACTTGGCTTCACAGTGAGGTGTAAGTATCTGAGTTTTGATGTAGAGTCAAGTTAAGATGTGTTAAGTGTGTGGATGTTTTAAGGTGGGTGCAACGTGTTTATGGCACAGGATTGAGAGCCATGTGGGGTAGATGATATATCTCACAAAATGCTGGAATGATCTTGCAGAGCCTATGGTCTCGGCACTGTCTGCCTTCATTTAGCCATTTTAAAGCTGAACAATATGAAATACTTAATTTTGAATAGTTAGGATGTTTTTTAAAAAAACAAGGTAAAAAAAGAACAGTTATTTTAATACAGGACAAGCCTGTTTCAAACACCACCTTTTGATGTCACACACAAACAGGATTTATAACCCTTTTATGAATTGCACAAATTCAAAAATGACGACAGCTCCTAACCTTATTATCCTTTTAGTAAAGGAGGCTGCTCTATTAAGGTGAGAAGGACACTGCCCTGACCGAACTGTAAGGGTATTTAATTTAACTTAATTTCTTCCCAAAATCTTGAGTCGCATTCTCTGCTGCTCCCCTCCTTCATGTCCTTCAGTTTGTAATTACAGAGACTTTTGGATATATTTCTATCAGTCTCCCCTGTTGTGTCCAATCAGATATTTGTGCAATACATAATCCCTATGGCCAGGCCCCTCCCATCCATCTCCAGAAGAAAAACAACTCAGCTTTTAAAATAAACAAATAAATGCAATTTTGCCTGGATATTTGGACCCTATAAACTTGCAGATTTGGATGCCCCCACCCTCTTCTTTTGTCCTATTCAGGACAAGGCTGAGGACTATAACTTGGGTGCTGATCTGAGGAGACCAGAAGAGACTACCACAAACCCAATTATCCCAACTTTGTTCTGAATACAGTGCATTCAGAGGTGGGGCAATTCAAAATACTAGTAGTTGCTGTTAGCAGGGGCAGCTAAAATAGACGGAGTACAAAGAGTAAATCCTGGTAAAACTTTACTGGAGGGAGGGGAGCTGAACAAAACAATAACTTGAGCAGAAAGACGTGGGGGGGGGCTTCCTTTTGACAGTCCTTGTTGGAAGTAGGGTTAGATTCAACCTACTCACAGCTAGGCAGCCTATCAGAGCTTGTGCTACCTCATTAAAGTTGATGACACCTTCCCTGGTTTGCTATGCAGAATCTCCAGCCATCTCTTGGGCAGCTGACTAACACAGAACAAAATTAATTCTTACACATGCTGAATGATCTCTGCTGCTGCAGTTGAAACATCTGCTTTTCCTTCAGTCACATATACACTGATAATTCATTTGATTTGGTTTGATTCCATTTTCTAGCTATTTTCATCCCCAGGGCTTCCTAGGGATGTTCTCCTATGGAGAAAAAATGCACTTAAAGTTAGAAAAACATTAAAATAGCTTTAATGGTTTTTCATTGTTTACATCAAGATGAAGCAGAGGAAATTGAAGGTGAAATCAATCTAAAACTTTTTATTTTGTTGACTACTTTGCATAAATAAAAATGTAAAGGTGATAATCTCTCCTTTGTCACAACAGCAGATGGAAAGTAGGTCTCCACTTTTCATTTCCTTCCATTTGTCAATTTGTGTCAGGCTCTTAATATATTAGAACAATTTATGATGCTAAATTTATCTTAGTGGCACAAGATAATGACACTGTAATCAATGTCTCTTTTGCAATTTCATTTTCAGGAGTATATAATTCAAGGCAATAATTCATCCAAGCCAAACTTGGCAACAAAAAGAAAAGGGGGGAACCAACCATAACTGTTTTCATGGTAGTGTTGACTTTTCATAGTAAAGGACTGTACATGAACCTCTGTGTCTCAGATTCTGAAAGCTATACAATGTTCTATCTTCTAAAACTTTCAGTTTAGAAAAAACAGTATTTGGCACTTCATTGAGGTGAACTGGAGTCTACATCTCTGCTTTGTTTAAAATAGAGATAACACCACGCTATGAGTCTTCTGTTAATGGCTGATCACATCACTAATGGTGCCTAGAACCAGCTGTTGATTATATATATTATAAAACTTGTTCCTTTGTTCCTTGAATCACAGAGGAAAGGACTTTGGAGATTCTGAATTTGAAAAATGCAGCGTGACTCTTAAAAAAGGAACTCATAAGAAGATAGTTTACATAGTGAGAAAGGATATTTTTCTGTAATGTCATGTATAAGATGGTTGAAAATGCAGTCTGGGCATCTTTAACATATTGGTTATTGGTGCAGTGCTTTCATCCCAATAAAACATTCCTCTAATACTGTTTGACATTTGGTAGAATTGTTGATGATCTCCAGCACAGGCTTTACTTGAGATATTATACTCCTTTTTAAGTCTTGGAAGTGGTATGTGTCTGTGTTTTGTAATGAAGAGCACATACAAAATGTTTTGTTTCCAGAAATGCCTGTCTGAAATGAAGAACAGGGGAAAGTGCAGAAGCTGGAAGAGCTGGAAGCAAAATCTTTACAAATCCTGTTATGAGAAAAGGTTTATGTGAATCATGTCATATTGTTGCTTTTATGTAGTAAAATATAGTCCAACCTGATTGTGCTCTGAAGTCAAGAAGCCATATGCACTGAGAGCTAGGGGTGGGACAGGTATTCCTTGTGTGGCCTATGGTAACCAGTGTGGAACATATGTAGAGCCTCCTGGATCAGGTCAATGGCTCATCTAGTTCAATATGCTGCTCTCACAGTGGTCAACCATCTGCCTGTGGGAAACCTGCAAGGAGAATCCCATCCTATGGTGTTCAGAAGTGTTACTGCCTCCAGCCATAGGGGTGGAACAGAGATAGTTTCAGTTATGTCAGTGTCAGCTATCCGTATTCCAAACTTCAGCCTGAGTCAGCCTGAGTCTTGAGCCTTGCAGAGGGAAAACAAGTCTTTAAAATAGTTTGACTTAAACCACCTGTTTCATTGGCACAGATTCTGTTGGGTTGTCAGGTCACGTGACTGAGTTGAAAGAAATTGGAATAGGTGTATATCTCTCATTGCCCTGTCCAACTATGCCATTCCCACAGGACAACCACCCCCTTTTTAACTTCCACTGGTACAGTTTCCACTGGCTGAGCTTTAGCATAGCCCTGGCTCAGCGAGATTGAGAGAGTTTTGCTGGCATATCCCCAACTGAGTTATTATGAGGGAGCTGGATTGGCTGAGCCCAAACTCAGCTGGGGCAGCCCAATATCTGCCTATTTCCTTGCTCATCCTGTTGAATCTTGATTTTGGATTGTATTGTTGGTTGGCTCTGATTCTATCTATTTTTGGTCTCCCTGCCTTCCTCCCTACAAGTCTCAACGGGCAGCCGCCGCCAAAAATTACGGAATGCTGTTGGTGCAGATCAATGCAACCACAAAGTACACCAAGTTTCCTCTCAGCCTTGATCTGCTATTATTTTCCAGTGGGTTCTGACCAATCCAGTCAGGGCAGCTGGATTTTCCATTTCATTTATTTTACTCTAAATACATAATGAAAATGGTAATATGATGCTTTACTGAGACATCTCGGTAATCTAATTTTAATTTTTTTGGCTCCCTGCTTGGTGATAAAATTTGCATAAGTATGCCGGTTTTAAAAGGTTTATTGGGGAACACGGGTGTAGTTTTGACTATACTGAAAAGAGGATTAAAAAAGAGACTGGATAGTGAAACAGATTCCTCTGCGGTATAAAAATTGTCAGAGCTCTGAAGAAGAGGTTTGGAATATTTAGACCCAATAGTTATTATTACACCCTAACAACAGAGAGTCCAAATGAAAGGGCAGAGCAGACTAGGTACTCCGCCACACCCAGAGCACACAGACATTTCAAAAATAGCTTGGTTTAAAACCAGCAAAGTTGTTATGATTCCACCCAAATTACCTTAGGAATAGCCATTTTCTGAAGGTACTGTGGCTCAGCAGAAAAGTGTGTAAGTGGTATGTAGAAGCTTCAGTCCATAGCATCTCCCTTTAAAGGGATCTGATAACCCAGGGCTGGGAAAGCTGCGCCCATCCAGATGTGTTTGGCCTTCAGCTCTCACCAGCTCCATCAAGCATGGCCAATGGACAGAGATTATGCAACTTATAGTCCAGCAGATTCTAGGGGACCACAGGTTTCCCACCCCAGAGGTGACTTCTGAGTGAGTATCTGGAAAGCCTCTGCCAGCGGATAATACGGGGCTATGTGGACATAAAGTGTTGCCTAGTATAAAACAGGCTGTGTTTCCAATAGAAGTACCTATCCCCATCACTGATTTACAATTAACTGGGTTCAAAGTTGGGAGCCTATGGTGGTTAAACATGTTTGAAATTGGATTATAATTTTAATGACAATTGCACAGACAGATGGCAATTTCATAATAAGTTTTTCTAAAATTCCCAATGAAAATTCAGAATCCATCAAAGGAAGTGGAGAAAGCTGTCACATTTCTAATTCATGTGATGAAAGCTTTTACATAGGAGATGAAAAGCCAAAGAGCAATTTCACATGGCACGTCGATGTTTCAGTGGTGCTTATTTGAAGCTTTCACAAAAACCACTTGGGGAAATTCGATCCTGCATGATCCGCCTTCGTTGTGCTGTGTCTGACATGAATGCCCTGCTTACCATTCATTACAATGGGGTGAACCACATTTAATTAATACTGTGAATGGATGGAGCACAGCTACTACCATCCATTACAATAAGGGCACACACAGGAAGACTTCCCAGCAGATTGTGCCTATAGTCTGTTTTGTTTATTTCATTCAAGATGTGCAGAATTTTGAAGATTATTTCCTCTGCTCTAGCAGCTGACTCACATCAGTGAGGCTTCAGAGAAGTGAAACTGGAAGAAAATGAGGTTGATGTATTAGGTTCAAACATTGGAGAAGTTGTAAGTCTTGCATTCTCTTTCAAACACCAAATGTTTCCTCAGCCAGTGTTGCGAGTTGCTTTGCAGCTCATGAGTCAGTCAAAAGAAAACACAGCATAATCCCTTTTTATTTTTTGTCAGTGATAGTTCTTAAGGGGAAAAAACAAACAAACTCCATGAAGTCCTTTTCAAAGTAACCACACGCTACAACCTTCCTGAGACTATACAGATCTGTCTCCCTACTCCATCCCTTCATCTTTTTTGTTGCTTGAAGAATAAGAAAAACAAGTTAATAGAAAAAGTCATTTTTGAACGGGGCTTTAAAACACACACAACTAGGTTTGGTTTGCATTTCAATGCAATTCTACCTTATGCACACTTCTTCAAACAATAGGCAGACTAAAATGCACCTCGCCTTCAAAACTCACACTTCTACAAAATTTGTGTTACAGTCTTCCAACCAAATAATGTGAATAATTAGTAGAAAGTGTGCACAAACATGCATATAATTGTAAACAATGTATATGCCTTGCACAGGGGAGAAATGCTTGCCAAAATACGTATACTAGGCAAAAATGCATGCAAAAAAGTAAATATTAGGAGAAAAGCCTACTAAAATCCTGATGATTTTTTTGTGAGTTCCCCCCTCCCAAATGCCAATGGATGTGGAAATGTGGAGAACTGAAAGTAAGTTTGGCAAACTGAAAACATTGAGAGAAACTGAAATCGACAGATTTGTCCATCCCTACATACAATTGCAGACAAGAGTCAGTGGTCAGCAACATTGGGCATCTGTCAAGGCCCACTTTGCAGCAGTGGACCCATCTCTGCTTGTTCACCTACCCTCTCCAAGCACAAGAAGAGTAATGAAAGGTAGCAGCAGCAGCAGCAGCCTCCATTTCCATGCCCTCTGCATCATCAGAGCAGCAGTATGAATTGGACCCAGAGGGAGTTGGCATTTGAATGAGTAGCAAGAAACATGGTGTGAGGGGGAGCGAGTCCCCTGAGGACATCTTGCTTCATAACTGGGCGCTGGCACTGAATGTTGCAGGTACAATGTTCCAAGCCACATAGGTTATATGGAGGCCCCATCTTACCCCCCCTCCTTTTCTTCTTCTTTTGCACTTAATGAAGCTATTTATGAATGGGTAGCTGGACTACTTTAGGGCCCTTCCAAACCTGCAAGTCTCTGACTCTATGAACCCTTTTCTCTCTCCCAGTTTCCCATCTGCAAAGTTACCCCAGTGGCATTTAGCACTATGGCAGTAAATATACTACTAACTGTTTTTCTTCCCCTGGACACCTCTCCCTCCCCCAAACATCCCATGGGACTAAGGCTCAGTGCAGCAGGGCTCCCTACTGAGAAGCCGAGCATAAATCTGTACTGTGAAAACACTGCAGGGGGAGTAGTATAGGTGTGGAAAAGCCTGCCCACCCTCCCATGCAAGTGTGTCATTTGCAACCACAGCCTGGATTGCCACTTCAGATTTAAAAGGGGCGGGGAAGAATATGTAAAGGCTTCCATGCACTAAAAATAAATAAATGCATAATTTGAGACTCGAATGGACCCCCATTTCTACCTGATTGACGGGGCCACTCTGTGCGACAGAGTTCTGAAATCAAGTGTGTGATTAGCACTTCTAAACAGGCTCATGAAGGATCAGCCCAGCATATAGACTTGAGTGGGACGTAAAGGAGAAAAGGCCAAGTGGAATGTGTGTGAGTGTGTTTTCAAAGTGCAAAGTGACCCCTGCTCCCACTAAATACAGCAATTATTTCAAAGAGGTTTGAAGACTCCTTTGTGAACTTCAAGTGGATGCGTCTGGAAAATATTATTCATTGTTTGGATTCATGTTTCAAGGTATCCTCTCAGTTAAAAATGCATACAAATAACTTGGGGGAGGGAGCTCAGCTTCAGGGGCCCCCAATTCTGTGCATACAACACATCTATAAATCTGCCACTGTGTTTGCAACCTTTGTAGCAGAGCTCACTTCTGAGCTCATGGAGTTTTTCTGCCTATAAGTTATCCATATGAATGCTGTCTGCTGCAGTTTGGATGCTTTTTAAAGATTTTGGTCAATGTAGGAAATTCTCAAATAAAACCGATTCAAGTAATAAAACCCCCCAAATCTGTCGCTGAAACAAAAGGCATGCCTATCAGCATTGTACACTGTGTATCAGTGTAATGTTTGGTATTATCTGCAGCCCTGATTCAAAATTGATCCATTTTCTTTGCTCTCTTGGAGCAGATTAATGGCAGGTTCATGATATCACATGGCCTCTAGTTGAAGATGAAACACTGACAAATCCAACCTGTACATTTCTAGTTTGCTCGATATGAAGTAATCATAACCTTTCCCACCATTCTTGGCTTCCTCTACAGGAATAAAAAATATTGATGGTTTACAGCCTGGAAGTATTTGCAGCCAGAGTAACACACCATAAATGATGTTACATGTTCTTCAAAGATATTAAAGTATTGGGGCGGGGGGGGGGGAGAATCAGGTGAGGATTT